ACTATAAAAAACCTTGGAAGGCAACCTAGACAATATTATTCAGGACACAGGCATGGGCAAAGATTTCATGATAAAGACGCCAAAAGCGACTACAACAAAAGCAAAACCTGAGAAATGGAATCTAATTAAAGAGCTTCTGCACAGCAAAAGAAACTGTCAACAGAGTAAACACACCCTACAGAATGGGTGAAAATTTTTGCGAACTATGCATCTGAAAAAGGTCTAATATACAGCATCTATAAGGAACTTAAATCTACAAGAAAAAAACAACCCCCTTAAAAAGTGGGCAAAGGACATAAACAGATACTTTTCAAAAGAAGACATGCATGGGGCCAACAAGTATATTAAAAAAAGGTCAACATCACTGATCATTAGAGAAACGCAAATCAAAACCACAATGAGGTACCACCTCACACCAGTCTGAATGGTGATTATTAAAAAGTCAAAAAATAACAGATGCTGATGAGATTGTAGAGAGAAAGAAACATTTATACACTGTTGGTGGGGGTGTAAATTAGTTCAATCATTGCGGAAAACAGTGTGGCGATTCGTCAAAGACCTAAAAAAAGAATTACAAGCCGACCAAGGAATCTCATTACCGGGTATATACCCAAAGGATTAGACATCATTCTATCATAAAGACACACTCACATGCATGTTCATTGCAGCATTATTCACAGGAGCAAAGACATGGAATCAATCTATATGCCCATTAATGATAGACTGGATAAAGAAAATATGGTACATATACACCGTGGATACTATGCAGACGTAAAAAAGAATGAGATCGTGTACTTTGTCAGAACATGGATAGAGCTGGAGGCCATTATCCTTAGCAAACTAACACAGGAGCAGAAAACCAAATACCACATGTTCTCACTTATAAATGGGAGCTAAATGATGAGAACACGTGGACACATAGAGGGGAACAACACACACTGGGACCTTTTAGAAGGTGGAGAGGAAGGAGACGATCTGGAGAAAAAACTAATAAGTACTAAGCTTAATACCTGGATGATGAAATAATCTGTACAACAAACCCTTGTGACTTGAGTTTACAAACCTGCATATATACCCCTGAACTTAAAGGTTAAAAAAAAAAGTTCGAATGAAAAGTGAATTTACTTCAATCACTTATTCATTTATCAAATAGTTATTCGTATTTATTATGAGATTATAGATTCAAATTTTTATATATAGAACTTTCAGGAGAAGTGATACATCCTTTTTATAAGATTCAGATTTCTTTTTTTTTTTTTTTTTTTTTTTTTTGAACGAGTCTCGCTCTTCGCCACTGGAGTGCATGCGCATCCGCTCACGCAAGCTCCCCCCCCCCCATCCCCCTCACCTCCCGTACTGGACTACAGCGCCCAACCTGCCCGCTATTTTTGTAATTTTAGAGACGGGTTCACCGTGGTCTCGATCTCCTACTTGTGATCGGCCTCCAAGGCGGATTACAGGTGAGCCACGGCGGGCATTCAGATTTCAAGAAAAATATTGAGGTGGTCAAAGAAGAGCTGAATAGTATGGTAATCATGCAATGTAATGATAATTTTATTGGGGCTTTATAGCCAGGCAAAGAAGAGAAGCAAGAGGTGGGTAGAGGGCACTGCAAGGCATGAAAGCTTCCTGGTCACCAGCTCTAGGGACACTGAGCAGTAAGAAGTTTCTTGTATGAAAAAAGATTTTTCTCTATGCCTAGTTGTAATAATAGTTCTTTATGCCTTTAGTTTTAATAATCTGGACATAGATTTCTTTCAATTCCTCAAGTTAATTAAAGTAAAATATTTATTAGAAATGTATTCAGTAGCAATGAAGAGTAATAAGAGGACAGGCTCTATGACCCAGCAAACTAGGTAGAAAGGAGGTCATGTAGACCCTGTTCCACCAGTTCATGCGATTAGTTTAGCGACTTTGATTTTGATGTTTGTTTTGGTGCCTTTTCAGTCCAGCCTAATCCTAGACCTGAGTCCAGTCAATACTGATTCATCCAGCTAAATCATTGAAAGTTTGCTTTTGAATAAAAAAAATGTCCAGTAGACGGATTCTACCCCATTTGTTTTTACTATTTTTGTCAAAGGTAATTTCCGCCTAATTTTTGTTTATCTTGAAAATAACAGCTAGAAACTGCCAATACAATTTCTAGAAATATTGAGATAGGAAAAATCAAAAAACAAAAAATCTTGGCCATAGGGGTCTCTCACACCTATTAAGTAGAATAATGAAGTGATTAAAGAGATTTTAATGGATGCTGCAATTGCCAATTCATGTATAAAATGTTAAATTATTGAATTTGGAAAATGGTTATGGAAAATAAAGCCTCTTCAGATTAATCATATATATCTGTGTGTGTGTGTGTGTGTGTGTGTGTGTGTGTGTGTGTGTGTGTGTGTGTAGAGAGAGAGAGTAAGGTTTCAGGTCAATTTCCAGCTTCAGTACTTGATTTTTTAATCTTTACTAATTCTCTGGAGTTTAAAATGAGCCTCTCCCAAAGTAAGGCATAATGTACAATAAATCAGCTACTTTTGGTCAGCCACAGAGAACCAACAAAAGAAGACTTGGAAAATAGTCAATAATAGCTAATAATCAAATTTTTAGATGCCAACTCACTATGATATTTGATATCTAATTAAAATTCAGCATATCTTGATCTCATATCATTTCTGTCAGCAAAGAAAATTACCGAATCCTGATGTTAGGGAATCTGATAGAATTGTCATGTTGAACTTTCCTTTAAAAAAAAACATAAAATAACTTTAAACACAAAGTTCATGTGTTTGGAATTTGAACTAAATTCTACCATTTGTTACCACATTTATCTTTTACAGAAAGCTGTAATGTTTTGGCACAGAGTTGGTATTTTGAGATTATTCTCATTAAGGAATTAAAAACCAAAGCGTATATCATTTTTCCGATTTAGGCTTGTCATTTCCAATTAATGTAATTAGGAACTGGCTATGATGTTTGACTATATATTAAAAAAGGGAAAAAAACAAAAACTAGTCCTAATATATATTTTTAAATTACCTAACAAAAAGTTTTTCACTTTTTTGATGAAAAGATTGAGTTTTTCTTCTTCAGAGTCACTTTGGTTTCTTGTATTTCCCAGTTTTCCCCTTAGCTGTAAGGCATTGTTTTTGGAGACTTCTGCCAGTTTACTTATATTTTTGATCTGGAATGAGAAAAACACAGTGAAGAAAATACTCAACAAAGGCATGTTCTTTGATGTTTAATTATTTAGCTGGACCAAATAAAACTGTCACTAAAAACTAAATAAAAGTCTAGATAAACCATAGATGCATTTGCAAGGAATCTTTTACAAGGTGATTATTATCTCTTCTCATTATTATGTTTTCTTAATATCATTCATTTATCTTTTAGAACATTATTGACCTAGTGCTAATGAATTTTTCTAATATAAGTCTAAAACACAAATTTTGTTTTAATGGGGCTTTAGCATTCTTTAATACCAACTTTCACAGAAATTACATAGGACTACTTACCTGCAGTGGTCATCATGTTTAATAGGTTGAGAGCATTTTCTTTTATGTAAGTTAAAATGTTACTCTTCTAAACATTCCTCAAATTCAAGTAATGTACTTTCTTTGAAAACTAACAAAAAAGCATTCCTCCTCTTAATAAATGAGCTTGAACTGAGAGTGGGCTACAAAGATAAATTCCAGACACTTTGTACTCTTGGTAGAGGAATGATAGGAATAATAGGCTAGCAAACTAGAAGTGCAAATTCTCAACTGTGTGATCTGAGAAAGGTCATGGACTTTTTCTAGGGATTCCAACAAATTAGAGAGAGACAAAAAACCCAGAAGCAACAGGACAATATTGCCAATAAGCTGAGCTTTATTGAATAAATTAATTGTGACAGAAGTAGGGCTAATTAGGATCAAACATAATTATGAAAAAAAAAATCCACTGGGCACGGTGGCTCACGCCTGTAATCCCCAGCACTTTGGGAGGCCAAGGCAGACAGATCACTTGAGGTTAGGAGTTCGGGGCCAGCCTGGCCAACATGGTGAAACCCCATCTCTACTAAAATTACCAAAATTAGCCAGGCATGGTGGCGCATGCCTATAATCCCAGCTACTGGGGAGGCTGAGGCAGGAGAATCGCTTGAATCCAGGAGGCAGAGGTTGCAGTGAGCCGAGATCGTGCCACTGCACTCCAGCCTGGGCCAGACAGAGTGAGATTCTTGTCTCAGAAAAAAAAAGAAAAGAAAAGAAAAGAAAAATATTCCCTTTATTTCCCCACAAAAGGAGCCTGCTTAATTTGAGCCAAACAGATTTTTAAGAAAAAGATTTAAATTATAGTCATTGGCAAATGATAAAACAAAAAAGTATTTACATGATTAAAAATGTGTATCTTTTTTTTCAGAGTTGATACTTAATTCTCTAGAACTTTCTTAGCTTTAAAGTGGATAGCAGTAAGAATGGATTGCAGTAAAATGAGAATTCCAGAAATAAAATACCCTAGGCACTAGCAAAGCACCAAGTGATACAGAGGAAATCTCGGCGTAGATTAGTTGATACCATATTCAGAAAGAAAGAGATCATGAAATTACTTCACTCTTAAAACATCCCTCTGCAATCCATCTTCTGTCACAACTGACTCCTGAGAATTCTCTCACAATCTCTTCTGGCACTCCCTCCTTCTAATCAAGAGGAAAATAGCACACAATTTTATCAACATGACATCCCCTCTCATCGCTTTCCAGTTCTCCATTTATGTGCTGATTAAACTAGATTCTGCTAATATGGATTTCAAGGATAATTTTTTAACACTGATAGCTTAACATATTATTGACTTAATGATATGATCAAGTGGCAATCAAGACTCCTTTAAATGAGGGTGAGATTTCTATTTTTTTGAGAATTAGCAATATAATAGTTTAAAATTACATTAAACAATTAAGGAGTGTTTTAAGCACTGGGACATAAGACCAGGATTTACATTGCTATGTTTGCTGCTGTATTCTCAACTTGTAGGTGGATGCCTGGCACATAGTAGGTGGATATTTGTTAAAGCAATGAAGAACCACGTGTGAATAGAAAATGATGTGGCAATACAGAATTGTGACTATGTAAGTAAAGTTTCAATATTTATGTAGGGATATGTTCTAGATTGGCTAATCAGATGCTTGCTCAAGGATATAGGGTGTGTGTGTGTGTGTGTGTGTGTGTGTGTGTATGTGTGTGTGTGTATATATATATATCTTGGCTGTGGTTCTCACCCCATTCCCAAGCTTGGACCTCTATCCTTTACTCGATTTTGAGACCCAGATGTCCTTACATATGTTTCCTTTTTGTTCAGGAGTCGGCTTTTTTTTTTGTTTTTGTTTTTGTTTTAGACAGGGTCTTACTGTTGTCGGCGCAGGCTAGAGTGCAATGGCGTGATCTCGGCTCACTGTAACCTCTGCCTCCCAGGTCCCAGTAATTCTCCTGCCTCAGCCTCACGAGTAACTGGGATTACAGGCATGCACTACCACACCTGGCTAATTTTTTTTCTTTTTTCTTTTTTTTTTGTATTTTTTGTAGAGATAGGGTTTCACCATGTTGACCAGGATGGTCTCGAATTCCTGACCTCAGGTTATCCACCTGCGTCAGCCTCCCAAAGTGCTGGGATTACAGGCGTGAGCCACTGCGCCTGGCCAGGAATGGGCTTTTTTTTGCTTGCAAACAAGAATGCTTACTGATACAATATTTAACATATAGTGGTAAAAATTTCAGCTCTTTAAAAGCTTTTTCTTCTTTGTCAGAGGCTCTTTGCATATTGTCAGAAAAGAAACAGATTGGGGAGGACACCACTACCTTGTTTTCAAACCAGAGAATAAAATGCATTCTCATAAAAAAGTTTAAAGAAAACTAGGTAATTAAAAATGATGCTCATTTATAAATATGACCAGAAAAGTAAATGAAATCATTTCAAATTATTATAGATTTAATTATAAGGTACTTAAATGTTAAAACAACTTTCTCAGTCTATCAACAGGGGAATGAGTTCAAGGCACAGTTTAATTCCTATTAAGCTATTTTCTAACATTAAATTCTAACATTACAATGTGTATATTTAGTAGGATTTCATATATACCCTTATATATTTATGAATTTACGAAAAATTATTCTTTGAGAGATCTATAGTTTTCAACCCTTTTAAAAATTTAATTCTTTAAATACTTCTTTTATTATTATAATTATAATTATTATTATTTTATAAAATAGAGATGGGGTCTCCCTATGTTTCCCAGGCAGGTCTTGAACCCCTGGGCTCAAGGAATCCTCCTGCCTTGGCCTCCCAAAGTGCTAGGATTATAGGCGTGACCTATACTCCTGGCCTGTTTTCAAATTTTTAAGGCTTGGAGTCCTGACATTTCTATGTAGTTTTTGCTGTAAACAAACATGTCCACACCAGTCTATGACCTATGATAATGTACCTTGAATTCTTTCTCTCTCTTTACACACACACACATACATACTTGACCTTCAAATGACACAGGTTGGAACTGCACACCCCCACTTATGTACAAATTATTTTCAATAAAACTTACATTGAGTGTGCCTACCTCTTCTGCCTCCCCTTCCACCTCCTCCACCTCAAACCATCTCTGAGACAGCAAGACAAACCCCTCTTCTTCCTCCTCCTCAGCCTACTCAATGTGAAGATGATGATGAAGACCTTAATGATGATCTATTTCCTCTCAATGAATAGTAAGTATATTTTCTCTTCCTTATGATTTTTCTGATAATATTCTCTTTTCTCTAGCTTACTTTATGGTTACAATATGGTATATAATACATACATAAATATATATTATTGACTATTTAAGTTATGGGTAAGGTTTCCAGTCAACAGTGGGCTATTAGCAGTTAAATTTTGGGGTAGTCAAAAGTTATACATAAATTTTCAGTTGTGGAGTGGAAGCCTGGTGTCCTGAATCCCCATGTTGTTCAAGGGTCAACTGTATACATATATATAATTGGAAAATATCAATATTCATCTCTATTTCTAAATCTACATTCACATCATCTACAATTTTATCCCATATTTCCAGGCAAAAGAACACCAACTATCTAGAATCTATCTTCTCACTTGGAAGTTATATGGCAGTTTTATAAATTTCAAGCAGTCTGCTTCTTTATTGCTATAACTTTACAAATAAAGCAAGAGAAGGTATTTACCTGATTCTTCAACCCACGAACCTGTTTGTCTAAATTACGAATAACAGATTTTGCTTCCTGGGCTTTTTGGAGGGCATTCGTTGAGAGGGTCAGGGAGCCATGACAGCCGGCACCCCCACACTTCCTGTGCCCTTCCTGGCCCATGCAGACAGCACCACCACAGGGCAAGGGCACAACACATGGCACATTTCCTGGATCTCCACACACCTTGCAAGAGAAATGATTTACATTAAATAGCAACTTGTCGTCAGAGCTTTTTTTTCTTTGTTTTGAGACGGAGTTTTGCTCTTGTTGCCTAGACTGGAGTGCAATAGTGTGACCTTGGCTCACTGCAACGTTCATCTCCTGGGTTCAAGAGATTCTCCTGCCTCAGCCTCCCAAGTAGCTGGGATTACAGGTGCCCACTACCACGCCTGGCTAATTTTTTGTATTTTTATTAGAGACAGGGTTTCACCAGTTTGGTCAGGCTGGTCTCAAACTCCTGACCTCAGATGATCTGCCCACCTCGGTTTCCCAGAGTGCTGAGAATACAGGCATAAGCCACCATGCCTGGCCGTCAGAGCTGTAATGCCATCCAGGCTCATTGAGTGAAGGCATTGCTTTATTCATATATTTCTTCAATAGTTGTTCATCCTTGGTACATGGGGGTAACCCATTAAACATTAAACATTTCCTAAGTAACTAAACATCTAAATTACTTATCAGTATTGTGTCAGTCTGTCATCCTTTATATTTATAGTTTTCTGAGAAAATAGTCAAACTTTTAGGAATTACACGTGAGTTTCACTTTTTAAAAAATATTTATTTATTTGTTGAGACAGAGTCTTGCTCTCTCACCCAGGCTGGAGTACAAAGGCACCATCTCCGCTCACTGCAACCTCCACCTGCCAGGTTCAAGCGATTCTCCTGCCTCAACCTCCTGAGCAGCTGAGATTACAGGTGCACACCACTACCCCCGGCTAATTTTTGTGGTTTTTGTAGAGAGGGGGTTTCACCATGTTGGCCAGGCTGGTCTCGAACTCCTGGCCTTAAGTAATCTGCCTGCCTCGGCCTCCCAAAGTGCTGGGATTACAGGCATGAGCCACCATGCCCAGCCTGCACTTTTTATTCTTTTGAGAGAATTAGCCTTTTTCTTATAATGAAGCAAGAGGAGCAAATGTTCATAGCCTGTACTGTTTTAGAAATAGTAAATAATATCAAATAATCAAATCAAGCCATAATCTTTACTCTTTGATCAATTCTTGAGTTAAATAAAAATAAGGCTTTTTATAGTATATAATAAAATATATATTTTATATACATACATATAATTATATATTTATAATATATAATGAAAAGAAATTTAGAATGTAAGCTAGGGAAATATCATTGAAGAGGTTCGTATATCAAGTAAAAACCACAAATGCTTTGACCTTACCATCATGAATATTTACCTTTTCATTCAATATTTGGATATCTGGTATCTTAATCTGCTTTAATTTTTCCAATGACAAGTTTCCTTTGGAGGTTAATGTATTTAAGATGGTAAGAAAGTCATTCCTGGTATTTGCAGAGGTATTAATGGTAGAACTAGTTTCATTAATTTTCTTTTCAGCAGATGATGATATGTGATAATATTTCTTGATGTTTTCTGAGGAGTCTATGTCAATGCAAATTGAAGGTAAGTTTTGTGAAAACAAATGAAATTACATATCAGTTATTAAGATAATCATTCTATAATTTGGCTACTGTCTTGGTCTCAACTATCACTATAAAATTTCAGCATCTTCCTTGAATTTGCATTTGATGGGGGAAGGATTAGCTATAGTATAATAGATATGGATAGAATAGATACATGGCATTGAGATTTAAGTCCACAGATGTGGTGTGAGTCCTGCCTTCACCCTTTACTGCCTGGGCATACCCTTGAGCAAATCAGTTCATCTCTTATATTTCGTTTCTTCCTCTGGTGATAATAATTTGTGAGAATTGAGATAATATGAATATATTCTGTAAATATTTCCACAAATATAAGGTCTTAACTATGAATACCTATATACACTCAAATATAATAAACCAACTAAATTTACTTAACCCTATAGAGCAGGAGTTGACAAACTTTTTCTCCAAAGGCCAAATAATTAATGTTTTAGGCTTTGCTGGCCAAAGCATTTCTGTTCCGACTACTCACCTCTGCCATTGTAGAGTGAAAGCAGCTACAGGCAATATGTAAATAAACAGGTGAGGTTGTGTTCTACTGAAGTAGTATTTACAAAGACAGGCTGTGGGCAGGATTCGCCCTGATGCTGCGGTTTCCTGAACCCTGATGTTGAGGCTGATAACAATAGCTAACAACAGTTAGCTGGGTGCTTTGTAGGTGCCTGTACTATACTTCCCATCAATTTTCTTCTTCAATCTTCACAACACAGTGTGAAATGCACATTAGTATGATCATCTTCATTTTACAAATAAGGAAACTGAGGCTCTATTGAGGAAAGTTATTTGCCTAAGTTCTCATTGATAGTAAGAGATGAAACCAGGATGTCAATCCAGGGTGTTTGACTTTAGAGCCTGTGTTCTTAAGCACTTCTCTACATTTCCTATGTTTGCATTATTAATACAAATTTGTGAAAGTAATAAGGTGTGTATGATATATTTTATTGTAAATTATAGTATATTAGGGGTTTAAACTATAACTCCATATTTTAGGAACCAGAGGCCCACGATCCTGATCTGATCTTTACTCCCTGTAGAACCATAATCCAGGCAGGAGACAACCATACCTTATCTTTCAAACTTTTCTGGTTCTTATAAGACCATACTCTTAATATATCATGTTTTTCACTTATCATGAAAAAAAAGTTCCTATTACTCAGAATTCGTTTATTCTTTCATTTTTATGGAAGATTTTCTCCTACCTGTGGAGATAATTCAATTGCCAACTATTCCCTGAAGGCTTTACTAATGAACCCAGGAAGAATTTTGTTTTTGCTACTCTGTTTTTGAAGCTGCTTTAAGATGGTCTAACAGTCTTAATGCTGTTTGGGGTGGCTTATATTCTTGTCCCCTGCCCCCATTAGATAGAAATAACTCAAAGGTAGGGACTTGCTGTAATGATCTGCCTGTTTCTACTGCGCAATGTCAGGCATTGGAAAAAAGCCCAGTAACTGCTGTTGGACTGCAAGTTTGAGAGGATTAGCATGGGGGCAGTTTCACTTTATTTTACCTGGTGTCAGGCGACCACTGATGGATTTTGAGTTCTTTTAGTGGGAACTGTCTTCTAGATTAGGAATCAGAATAGATTCCTTACTCATTACATGGCATTTATTAAACAGCATCAATACATCTTTGCTAGAATTTATTTCACTAAATTTAGGCATTCCTTTAGGGAAATTAGGTGTTCCTAACTGCCTTCTATTTTTTTTCTCTTCTAGGTCAAAATCAGATAAAACACAGGAGTATATACATAGGATAATGAAAGCAGTCAAAGTTTTTTCCTGACATGGATTCATGTATATTTGCCTCTCAGTTGGATGTCTTAGGTGTGAATAAACTCAGGGATGCTTCTCTCAGTAGTAACAGGTTGTCCATTTCCAAATATAACAGGGGTATCATCTTGAATAGGAGATGAGCTAATCAAAGTTTTGCTTTAGAGTTCCATTTCTCCTGCAGATTATCTTGGCTTAGGTATAGCTCACATTCAGTTTTAAGAACTATGCAATATGAGTTAAGGGCTTGTACTATGTTGCATGACTCCCACCCTTACAAAGCTCTATGAGAAATGTTGTGGATTTTGTTTTGTTTTGTTTTGTTTTGCCTCATATTCCTTTGCATTTATGGTTACTGAAAATGGAGTGGCCTATACCAAGAAAGGCATATAAACATGTCTCTCTCATTTGTTTATGGCCATATTAGATTTTCTAAGTTGTTGATTACTCAAGACCCCTTACATGGGTTTGGCACTAGATTACTTTGGGTGTTAGCATTTGTTTAATATCAGACATTGTTTACTTGTTATTTTTGAGTGAATGCTATCCAGGCTCTGTGATGTTTAAAAAGTTGAAATATCCATGAACAAATAATACCTTTAATGGTTGTGTTTGCATGTTCTGAAGTGCTCAGGTACTATGGTGGTAAGCACAGGATGACTCACTAATGGAATGCACTATGGATTTCATCAAACATTGTGTAGACACAGTCAAAAATGCATTTTTCCCTTACCCACGATGCTTGCATTAAGGACACTGAATTGCAAATCAATTTCTTTCTGAAGATCTTCAAGTAAGAGGTCTGCTTCATTCTTTGCTCTTTCTATTGTATGTTTCAGATCTTGAAATTCATACACTGCTTTCAATTGTTCATTTAGCTGCATGATTTGTTTTCTATCAGAGAAAATGAGGGTAAATAGTTAAGCTTGTATTACATTTGGTATATTGGTGAAAAAATGCCACCAAAATTGCCCTTACTGTTAGGTATTCTTGATTAGAAGGGATTCCTTCTACTCAAGTTTTTCATTTGAAGGTTTATAATCGTGTTTATGTCTCATCTCTTTCATCTTAATTCGCCTT